TAAATTCCAATAATCTCTCAGCTCAATTTTTGTTGCTAAATGGCACTAATGAAAACTGCAACTTTACTTCTTTTTCTTTTCTTTTTTTCAATCGCATTTAAATGTGTTTACTATTTTCCCTTATAAAACTCCATTGCCATTGCAAATAAAAATATTTCAAGAGCAAAGTTGGTATTTTAAATTTTAATTTGTTGATACATTGATCATCAATTTATTAGTAAGATAACCATTTAAATTTTCTATGTGAGTTAGTTAATTCGATTTTTTTTTTGTTTAGTCTGCTTATTCTAATTTTGATTATTATTTGTAGTTTATTTGATATTAATTATATTAATTAATGCATTTTTTAAGAATTGATTCAGTAGGAATGCATTATATTTAAATTTTAAGATCTTAGCAGTAAAAATAAAATCAATTACAAGGGGAAGCAAAGAAGGTAAAAATTGAGTTAAAGTTTATAATATAAAGGGTAGTTATGATAAATATAGAATAAGAAATGATGCATTAATCTGATTATGAATTTTTTAAATTATGAATATGCCTCCCTCTTTTTTCATCACATTTAAATATATTTACTCTTTTGAACATACAAAACCAGATTTGTCAAATCATATTCCAAGAGCAAAGTTGGTATTTTAAATTTTAATTTGGTGAGATGAACAAATATAACGTTTTTCAGATAGAAAATCTAATACCAAATATTAAACTTCATGAAAATCTGTCAATTTTTTCTTTTTTGGGATATGCCAAATTATTTGTCCCATAAGTACAATTAAAATAAATGATTTATTTCTATAATTACTCTTTTTAAGTTTTAAAAAACTTTTAATTTTCATATATAAACTACATAATATTTCATAATAATTTTAAAAGGAAACAATACATTAATTACATGTTATAAAATCGAAAGAGAATAACTAATATGAGATGAAGAGAATAATAAATACACAATTTAATAAAAAAAATTATAATAAAATATCTAATATAGAATTAATAAATACCCATTAATAATTCTCTCTCTTTCATATAATACACAATTTGTTAAATTTCGCATGTTGAGAACTTGAGATATATACAACAAAATTGCTTTCGCAAGTGCATACGTAAAAACTAGCTACATGCTAAGACTGGCTCACTGGGGACCAAGGAACCCTGAACGAATTTTTAATTATTATTTTTGTATTTCTTGTTGGAATAGTCAAGCTGATCACCGTTTTGACTTGATGTTTATTTTTTAAAACATGACTCGGAGTAGGTGGATGTTTATTCTGCTTTACATTCCTGGTTCACCACATCTTGGGTCACTGGCTTTGTGTGTGTGTGTGTATTGTTTGTGATGGTGTCGCAGAGTCTCTTAGAATAACTTATAATTCTCTTGCAATTTTATCTTTTATGCACAGGTCAATTGTTATTATTTTCTTAAAAAAAAATTAGAGTGAGTTTAAAATTTTAAATTTTCAACCATCACAGTGAAAACCTCACAAGTCACAGCCCTCACTGTAATCCTACATAGGAAACATAGATACAAGTACAAAATACGAATATGACAAAATAAGGGTGTAACAGTATGACAAATTTAAAAAAAAAAATAACAATAAGATATGAGTACATCATGATATGATAATAAAGAATTAATAAAATTTATTTTTATACATATAAATATTAATTTTTAAAAAATATTATGAATTTAAATACAATCATTAATATAACATAAAAGTTCGTTTCAAAATGCTCCGTACATAAAATAAGCATTCATAGTTACTACTTAATAAAATTTGAACTTTTCTTAACAATTGCATTATAATGTTAAAACTTATTAAAAATGTGTTATGAAGTATTGAAAAATGTCAAAATACCTAAGAAATATAGATATGTGTTAAAAAATTTTAAAATATATTTTAAAATAATGAATACAGATACATATCTATAAATATCCATAAAATATGGATATCCAATACGTATATAAAAACATTACTCTCCTTACTAATCTCAGCAATTTGGATTTCCGTACTTCCTAACTAATCTCAGCAATTTTTATTTTTTTTTCAGAAGCAAAAACAAAACTCAGCAATTTGGAGTCAAATATTGATTGCTTGGTGGCAAAGAAACATTGCAGATATTAATATGTTGTGGGATCCATCTATATTAAGCTGACCCATTTTGACCCAAACATTCATTGAACTGACCCGTTTTACTTGTCCACTACATTATCAAGGGTCAACATAAATTAGCACACGACAAAAGTATGTAGCCAATTTATGTCCCAAAGACAAAAATATTTACCAAATGGTGGTCCAAACTATTGCGTAAAGTCCTTCGCATTACCAAATGATTCCATTTTTCTTCTCCATATTTTGTTCCGATGGTTGTTATATCCATTTTATCCAATTTAAAGAAGCATTAAATATATAAGAATATATGAGAGTAGTGATGGTAATATGGGCTTTATTATCATGGTATAATTCATTTATAAAAAAGACAAAAAAGAAAGAGTATTATAAATAGAAACAACTAAAATTAGAATTCAAACTTTAAACAATGCTTCTCTTCTTACATCTAAAATTGAATATCTTCCTTAGAGCTAATGAGTCATAAATTAGTGGGAAAAAGGAAATAACAAAACATTTATTTTTTTTCCTATCAAAATAACAAAAAACACTTGACCATTACTAATTACTTTGGTCAAATTAATCTCAAATCCCTTAATTCATTTTACATGGTCCAAAACACATCAATTTTAAGGAGGTGAAACCTAGTTTCATATATTCTATAAAAAATAAATAATAATCGTTTCATATGCGTGAGACAAGTATTTTTCTCAAAATTTTAATAATAGCAACGCAACAATTAATTAAAAAACTATTAATAGAGGTCGAATGTAAGGATATTCTTAGTTGGAACAATAATTCCAAATAACTTCAATTGTCTAATGTTATTAATTAGGATATCTCCTTGCAGACTGACCTTTCTGTCCGATCAAATTTTCATTTTTTTATTCCTATTAAAAACAATTTTTAAGTACGTGATTTCATTTTTTAAGTTGGAAACCAGAATTAATTTACTTTAAAGGCTAAGAGAATAGCTAGATATAGCATTTTTTTATTTATTATTTTTTTATTATTTTACAAAACAAAGCTGATGTAAATGACCCCAAATAGTCAATTGAATGATGGTCGTGGATATATTCATGCACTGTCACTTGTGCTGTGAGTAGATTCAGCAGCTCAAGTAACATAATTGAAATAATAATAATAAAAAATCAGCAACATCATCTAATTGGTCGAGTTAGTATACTACATACAAAATAAAATAAAATGAAAAGGAAAAATCATTTTTGGAATGTCCTATGTCAAAGTAAGAAAGTCATCCAAAAATAATACTCCGTAGGAAGATTAAATTAAGTGATCTCGAAAATCATAAAAATTGAGTAAGAAAGTCATCCAAAAATAATACTCCTTAGGAAGATTAAATTAAGTGATCTCGAAAATCATAAAAATTGAGTAAGAAAGTCATCCAAAAATAATACTCCTTAGGAAGACTAAAATAAGTGATCTCGGAAGTCATAAAAATTGATTGTTTTATGTGGGTGGGTAGCATTAAATTTAATTTTTATTTATTTATTTATTTATTATGAACAAGAGTTGTCTAATTACAAATGCATAAATAATTTGTAATTATAAAATTAAGAAAATGATAAATAAAGATAATAACTTTAAAAAAAAATAAATTCAGGCATATTATTTACTTATTTATCAGTTTTCTGATTTTGTAATTATAAATTATGTGTGCATTTGTAATTGGAGCTCATTAGCTATTAGTGTAGATGACCTACTCTTATTTTTGTATTATTACCCAAAATGAAGTAATGATTGGGAGTTGAATATTGAGATACATCCAACTAATTCTATATGAGTAAAAATTAATATTAGCACATCATTATAATATCAACATTCACTCATATAAATCAACAAGTCTTGTCCCATGTACTTTTTCGACCCCAAATCATTATCCCTCAAAATGCTATAGATTCAATGTAACAGTTTTATTCCTATTAAAAACAATTTTTAAGTAAGTGATTTCATTTTTTAAGTTGGAAACGAGAATTAATTTACTTAGAAAGCTAAGAGAATAGCTACATATAGCATTTATTTATTTTTTTTATTTTATGAAAAACAAGCTGATCTAAATGACCTCAAATAGTCAAGTGGATAATGGTGGGTATATTCATGCAGTGTCACTTGTGCTGTGAGTAGATTCAGACATAATTGAAATAATTATAATAGATCAGCGACATCATCTAATTGGTCAAGTTAGTAAAGTACATACAAAATAAAATAAAATAAAATGAAAAGGAAAAATCATTTTTGGAATGTCAAAGTAAGAAAGTCATCCAAAAATAATAGGAATATTAAAATAAGTGATCTCGAAAGTCATAAAAATTGATTGTTTTATGTGACTTGGTAGCATTAAATTTAATTTTTGAGTTTTTATTTATTTATTTATTTTTATTATAAACGAGACTTGTATGATCGAATTACAAATACATAAATAATTTGAAAGTATAAAATTAAGAAAATGATACATAAAGATAATAAACTTTTTTTTGGAATAAATTCAGCCATTTAATTTTCTTACTTATCACTTTTCTATTTTGTAATTGTAAATTATGTGCATATTTATAATTAGAATACATTAATCAGTATGGATGACCTATTTGTCGATAAGTAGACAAGTCTTATTTTTTTATTATAACCTAAAATGGAGTAATGATTATTAAAGTAGAGAAACTTTTGGGCTCTTGAGTGAAGGATAGACTCTCTCCTAATGAAAAGATTAGCATCACATTGGTCAAGAACCATTTGGCTTTCGCCTCTTTAGAGAGTTTCCCAGAAACACCTGCATAATATATCAAACGTGGCACAACCACGTGCTACCTCCAAAAATATATGAAATGTGTAGCGCTACCACGCCACCTATTTATATCATCCATATCACAACTACCCACTTCATTTCCTTGTATGTAATACTCTCTCTCTCTCTCTCTCCATTTCAAGTGGAGTAAGAAAAAACTAAGGAGGACAAGAGAGACCGCCAAGAAAAAATGTCCGGTAAGGTCCGAGTAGAGGAGGACCCAAAAGTCCCCTTACTAGACTACTCAATATCAACCGTCGGATCAGAATACCAAGAGGATGATCAAGATCTAGATCTTCTACGGAGGGTCTGGATTGAATCAAAGAAGCTATGGCACATAGTGGGCCCCGCCATCTTCAGCCGCCTCGCCTCCTACTCCATGTTCGTTATTACCCAAGCTTTTGCCGGTCACCTCGGCGACCTTGAGCTCGCTGCTGTCTCCATTGCCACTAATGTCATAGTTGGTTTCGACTTTGGCCTCTTGGTATGTATTGAATAAGATCAGAACGAATTTATAACATATATATTCGTTCTAAATAATAATTGTACCGTTTTTGTTGTTTTACCAGTTGGGGATGGCAAGTGCTTTAGAGACTTTATGTGGACAAGCCTATGGAGCCAAGAAGTACTATATGTTAGGTGTATATATGCAGCGTTCTTGGATTGTGCTATTCATATGTTGTGTACTGCTTTTGCCTCTCTACATATTTGCAACTCCATTTTTGAAGCTATTGGGACAGCCTACAGAAGTGGCTGAGCTAGCTGGGGTTGTGTCCTTATGCATGATTCCACTTCACTTCAGCTACGCCTTTCAGTTTCCACTGCAGAGATTCCTGCAGAGCCAGCTCAAGACCGGTGTCATTGCGTGGGTGGCGCTGGTGGCTCTGGTGGTGCATGTGTTTGTCAGCTGGCTGTTTGTCCACCAGCTTCAGTTTGGAGTGATTGGCACTGCAATTACCTTGAATTTCTCTTGGTGGGTCACCGCGCTTGGGCTGTTTGGTTACGCTGTTTGTGGTGGGTGTCCACTCACTTGGACTGGCTTCTCCGTTGAAGCCTTTTCTGGTCTTTGGGAGTTTGCTAAACTCTCTGCTTCTTCTGGTCTTATGCTTTGGTACTTGTCCCTCTCTGTGTGTATATATATATTTGGATTACACATCTCAACTTGAAAAATTAGTCTATTTTGGTAGGAGGGTGCTATTTGAATTCTGTTACTAATTCCATTATACTTTGTCCTTTTTGTTTGTTAATTAGTTTGGAGAATTGGTACTACAGAATACTAATATTGATGACTGGGAACTTGATAAATGCAGAAATTGCAGTGGATGCGTTGTCCATCTGGTCAGATCTTGTACTTTTTTTACTCCTTATATATTTTATATATATGATTAAGACAGACCATTGGTACTTCTGAAATGTTCTTGATGTGTTAGAAATTACTAGAAAGTACCCTGTTTCCCTTTCATGTCATATTTTCTTTTGCTTATACCATTCTTTGTTTTTGCATTGATTGTGTGCGTTTTGTCTCTTCACGCAGCATGACAATCAATGGGTGGGAGCTGATGATTCCTCTTGCATTTTTTGCTGGAACTGGGTAACATATCTTTTACTTTATTTATATTTTTTAAAATTATTTTGACAGACCAAACTCTGTATTTTTTTTTTCTTTCCTGGTCATTAAATATATAACTATAAATGGTCCACCATTACAAGAAAATAACATTTTTATACTCGAAGCTGATTTGATCAATTATATTTAATTGTCATAATTGCACGATGAAGACAAATTGATCTTCTTCCTTTTTGAGCGTGTTTCTTACACCTTGTGGTCAGAGAATTCACACGTAACTACACACATACATGTCATTTTAATGTATATGGTCCATATAGAAGGACAAAGTTCCACCACAATTACTAATTTCGTCTTTAAGTCATTCATTCAAATCAACTTTTCCTCATAGTCCACAATTGAAACTCGTAAGTTCTGTCGTCAGCTTTAGCTAGAGATCGAACAATAAAAAAATGCAAAAGAATAACTTTTCTTGACTGAGTATTTTATGAAACACAGTGACAAATATATATATATTGAAGAAATTAAAGGTGAGCAAAAATATCGCGTTCTCAGAGAATTAAAATAAAATTAGGCAATTTTCTAGCCATTTTTAGAGTAACTGATATTTGTTTCCAGAGAAATAACCAAATATGCTCTAAGTAAACAATTACAACAATTGTATGATACAGGGTGAGGGTGGCGAACGAGCTCGGGGCAGGCAATGGAAAAGGAGCCAAGTTTGCTACAATGGTGTCAGTGATGACATCTATAGTGATCGGTCTCTTCTTTTGGTTATTGATTATGATGTTTCATAATCAAATTGCCTTAATATTCACATCTAGTAAACCTGTCCTCGAAGCAGTAAGCAAGCTTTCAATTCTCTTAGCCTTCACCGTTCTCCTCAATAGTGTTCAACCAGTTCTTTCCGGTAATGATTCGAACTTAGCTTTACTTGCACAAATTATCAACGCTCAAATAGGAGTAACAATACAAAATTAAAGGGTTGATATATATATATATATATATATATATATATATATTTCTTTACAGGGGTTGCTGTTGGATCTGGATGGCAATCGTATGTTGCATACATAAACCTTGGCTGCTACTATCTGATTGGAGTCCCACTTGGATTTATAATGGGATGGGGTTTTCACCAAGGAGTCATGGTATGTATGTGTATATAATTGTGTGTGTATATTTATAATGTATGCATATTTCACTTGGCAATGAAAAATGCTTCTAATAGTCGTGAATAAGATGTGAATTTTGGGTGAGTTTCACTACAAAAATTATGCTGCTGTTCAAGTTAAATAATAACAATTCTTGAAAATATGGGGAAAAAAGTTATTATTGATTTTAATCACGCATAATTTGATATTTTTATATTAATCAATCTATATACATTTGTTCATAATCAGGGTATATGGGCCGGAATGATTTCGGGTGGAACTGCAGTTCAAACTTTGATATTGGCGATTATTACCATTCGATGTGACTGGAAAAATGAGGTAAAGACCTACCAAGTACTTGAGTGATTTTTTTCCTGATTAATCTAATTATGTGTACCAATTTAATTAAGTGATTTAATTTGATTAATTGTATGTTGAATTGCAGGCGGAGAAAGCAAGCATGCGTATGAAGAAGTGGGGAGAGTCGGAGAGACGATGAGTCAACAATAGTCCGTCCACTGTTAGATAAAATAGTTTGGCCTCGCGAGAACTTTTAATTTATTCTGCATCCATGTATACCAAAGTCTTGGAATGTTGGAATTTAAAGGAATTAAATTAATATATGACCATTATTATTTTTAAAAATTAGCTATCAAAATTATGTATGAAATTATTATTGTTCTACTTTTTGGTGGAGAAGAATCAATTAAACAAAATTCATATATTTGGACCTGGTTGTTAGAGAACTTCAGTTTTGGTGTTATGAAAATTGATTAGTGTTATGAAAATTTATTAGTGTTAATCTGCCCCCACAGCAATTTCCAACTTGGGAGGAAGAAATTTTTTTTTTTTTTTCTTTTTTCAAAATTTTAAGCAACTAAATTATATGTGGGTAATTACATGGGACCAAAAACAGCCCATAAAACTGGGATGCAAAAGCAGAAGAAGAAAAGAAGCCCAATAAGGGCCATACAAGGGAGAACCCCAGTTCAAATTTTCTTATCTAATAACCGCCATTAACGACTTGGTTAGCCGTTACGCTTCCAGTGTTAAGCCCAAGTAAGAATATGACCGGTGCGAACCAGACTAGGACTCGGTGAAAATAAAAGTGTATATTTATAGTGCAATGTCTATTCTTATTGATGCAATGATTAATAATACTGAATCAAATCCCTATTGAATGATATATGTTATTCATTGGATTAAAAGTTTTAAATTTGATTTTATTTCAAATATTGGAATTTAAAGAAACCAAACACAATACATCTTATCTTAGAATTAATTACATTAATTAATACCTTTTTAAGTTTGGTCAAAAATCACATTAAAACATCTTAAAAAATAATTATCACTCACAGTACTCACATTGTAAACATTTGTTCCGTTTTTCACTTACACTTTTTCCGGTGTGTTATACCACTTTTTACATGTAAAAAGACATTAATATCCCTTTGTGTTTGTGTTGACTACTAAATGGATGTTTGATATATAAAATGACACTTCTACCCCCATTGGACCCATATTAAGTTACCAAAATGCCTATTGGAATATATGTGTATATATATAATTTCATAAGAAATTCAACAAAACCCAAAAAATAGATTAGTAAAACCTAAAAAAATAGATCACTTAATTCTTCACACACACTAATTTTTCATATATATATATATATATATATTAAGTGAGGGTGTTGGTGCTGTTGGATAATTGATGGGAGTGATTTGTCCTTATACAATTATGATATTTTATATTAAAAGACATTTAAAAAATAAGGGTAAAAATGTCATTTCACATCCATTTTTAACGGTGTTAGTGATGAAAAAGTGATTTGGAATGTAAATGATAGTAATTTTTAAAAATTATTTCAATGTGATATTTGTACAAATCAAGGATGTCAATGTAATTAAGCTTACATCACTTGTTTTCATACAGTCACTAAAACGAGAAGGATTTATTTAAATGAATTGAATATAAATTTAACTTAGGAAAATAATAATAATTAAGGCCAAGAAAGTAGTTTTTGTTATGCTTTAATGAAAGGGACACCAAGGAAGTTTATTATTAGTTATTTATTTATTTATTTTTATTCTCATGTATTAATGAAAGGGACATCAAGGGAGTTTATTATTATTATTATTTTATTTTCATGTACTATATATAATACAAGTATTCATTTATTTATCAATTCTTTTTTTTTCATTAATATTGTAGAACATATACTACTAAGCATTTTTTAAATACAGATAGCAATCATAGCATCTTGGAATTCTTATTATTTCTGTGAAATGATCTTCAAAAAATTAATACAAATTACTAAAATTCATTTAAAATTCATCATTATCAAATTATGTAGTAAAAAATTCAATACACTTTAGACAATATGTGAAAAGATGAAGTAAATTAATGACTACAAAAATTAATTTCATTATCTTACCTCCAAAACAGTCGGATTTCGATAACTGCTTCCGCGAACGCGAACCTTAATTTTGTAGCGTGAAATTAAATCGACTACACAGACTGGAACAAGCGGACTCGACTTGAAGAGGAGCCAAGCGTTGGGTGAGAGGCGTCCACTGTTCATTTCCCGCGTTAAACGCCGGGTAATCTGAGTACAGTCTACACCGTCTTTACCGGTGAAGCCAATCATTCTCTCTACTTGGAAGAGGAAAAAGAAAAATAATATACTACCAAGTACGCAACTATATCAACGTCCGACCTAGAAGCCAAACCTCACGCGCCACTTCACGCGCCTCCGAAGCCAATTCTTTCCCCTCTCTCTTTCAATTGTTTTCTTTGAATCCGATACCGAACCGACCAGTTGAGAAGAGCTGAATATATATATATGATGGAAAAGCCTAGCGACGAACAGAAGAAGCCGGATGCGGATCAGACCTCGGGTCAGGAACGGGACCCAAAGCCCAATCCGACTGCGGAGGGCGGTGCTCAACCCAACGTGGAGGTGCCGAAATCTCAGCCTCAGCCTCAGTCCGGTGCAGGTGCTGATCCTGATTCCGCGCTCGGATTGGAGACGCAAAATCAAGCCAACAACGATAATATTAATAATAATAATAATAATGAGAGTCAAAATGAAAGTGAAATTGATGATAAGTCGGCTTTGAATAATCGGTCGAAGAAATCGGTGCATTGGAACAATGACTTGGTTATGAAATCTTCATATTCTGGAACTGTACCTTCTGCTGCTACTGAGGCTGATGGTGGATCCAATCCTTATGTTGCCTCCTCTCCTTCGCTTACCTCCTCACCCTCTTTAAAGGGTCAGAACCTCCCTCTCTCTCTCTATACATATATTAGTGTATCTATTGACATGTATAGAATAGAGATTTAAATGCACATCCACAAATTTGTGGACCCAAAATGTTAAATTCGAATTGCTTCTCTCTCAATTTTCATGATAGTTTGAATTTGAGTTTAGAATTCCTTTAGTATGAACTTATATTGTGAATTTTTTATTGAAATCTCTTGGACAAAATATGGAATTCAGGCTCAAAAATTTCTCTGTTACACATGTATTGTTTGTTAGGTGATGAATTTGGCGTCTGTTTTGGAAGGTTGTTAATTAAAGAAAGGTGTTTCATTCTTTTAATTTTTTATTTTTATTTTTTATTTGTTTGATTAAATACAATGGATAGTGAAATTATATATATTTTTTAAATATATATATATATTTATCAGGTTCAATGGAAAGGTATTCAAAATTTCATTTTTGATGTGTTTTTTTTTTGGTTTTATCTGATACATTTTTATTAATATATTTATTTGTTGTACCAGATAGGATGGATACTGTTCGTGATGTGCTAGGGAAATGGGGAAAGAAGGTTGAAGATGCCGCTAAGAAGGCCGAGGATCTTGCTGAAAACACTTGGCAGCATTGTAAGTGTTCCCATATTTTTGTGTTTCTTTCCTTCGTCTTCATTTAGCTGTAATTTATTCTACATCAAGACTCCTGTTGCTTTCGGATTTGGTAGAATTTAACATAGCAATTTGTTTGAAATTTCATCATTTTAATTTTGGTGAAGGTATAGAAAACGCGGTGAATTCAGTACTACTATATCAGATGTTTAGATTTTGTTTTTTGGCTTATTAATATCATATCATGGGATATAATTAATTGAAATCCGATAGTTTGAATGAATCTAAACTAAGTGCTGAGAGCATGATTCAAGTATTTGGATGTGTCACAATTTGTTTGTTAGTTGTTGCACTTCATTTCTAGTAACCTGCAAGTATATAGTGCTTTATTTCTTAGATTTCCTAGTAAAACTGTAAAACAAAGCAATTCTGTCTTCAATTTCACTACTTGAGCTATCACTGTCCTCTTTCTTAATAGCTTTTAGTGCTAAACTTTTATCTCGAGGGGGAAAGTTTAAGTCATGAGCATGTAGTGATCCTACATGATCTTCTACTTCCACGTTATCTACTGCTTTCTTCAATAGCAGTGACTTCGGAATGAAGCCTAATTGAAAGAGACCTTAAAAAATTTGAACTTTATTTTTTGAGGATCTTCCTATAATATAACTACAATTGGCTATATCATTCAGCTTAGTATAGAATTCATCAAAGGTACCATGTTCTTCTATTTTAAGACTCTGAAACCTAGTCGCTAAAATTTGAATCCTAGAAATTTACTGTAGATGTCGTAAACTTTTTCTAAGATTTCCTAAGAATCTTCTGTTGTAATGCCAGTTTGTGATTCTAGCAAACTGTGAATATGGTGATTCCATCACCAATTTTAAGATGTCATGGTATTGATCCCTATTTTCTATTTGTTTAAATTAGTGAAAACGGCTCCTAGTTTTGCTGATGCTGCCATGGGAAGAATTGCACAGGGAACAAAGGTTCTTGCAGAGGGCGGTTATGAGAAGATTTTTCAACAAACTTTTGAGACAGATCCAGACGAGGAACTTCAAAATTCATATGCATGCTACTTATCCACATCGGCTGGTCCCGTCATGGGAATATTATATGTATCTACAGTAAAGCTTGCATTTTGCAGCGACAGTCCTCTTTCTTATAAAGCTGATGACAAGACTGAATGGAGCTACTATAAGGTACGTCTGCGTGAGCCCCTTTAGCATTAGAAGAGCATATCTAAAGCTAAATGTCGATCATATAAAAAACAAAGGTGCTAGGTGGATATTCTTTGTGCTGTTGCAATACATAAGATTGATGCTTAGTTGTGATCAATAGCTTATGATGTGCATCACGAGTATGGCAGTAGATCCTTTCTGGCTTATCTGTGCTTTATGCTATCAGAATCTTGTTCTGCAATTTAACTCTATTTGGGTGATCACATTCAATAACGTAGTATATGCTTGAAACTTCAAATTGAAGATTCATATAAGAAACTGGGAAGACATTGTTCATTGGCAGCCAACTTGATGGTGATTCTCCATCTGGCCTTGGCCAACTGTTGAAGACTAATGGCTTGATAGCAGTGGTGTTACTCCTATCACTCAATATGTTGGGTTCTATCAATTTATTTATTTATTTTTTCACTGTTACATAGTAGACTAACATTATTACTTCCTCATTGTGATGTCAAGTCATCCACTAGTTTCCAGGTCCTTGCATGTGCTCTTGTTCATGTCCAAATTTGTTTTTCTGGACTTGTATAAGTTATTTTACCTTACTTCCAACCTGATTGGGGTTCCCTTTTCATTTTAATGATAACTTATGGTGTTCCCTTTATATATTTTTCTTGTTGGAATATAGTTGTCTCCTGTCCAGTTAACCCCGTGTATGTGAACCTATAGAAAGGCTTTCGATTCCATTTTCTCAATGTACCCAAAGTCGTTACTTCATTATTAAGCAATGATAGGAGCATCTTGTGGCTATGCTGAGAATGTGCTCCCAATAATCTGAAAGTTACTCCTGTCTAGGTCTTTTTCCCTTAACTTCCTTGTTTTTTTTTTTTCCTTTTCTGAAAGTCCTTTAACTTCTCTTTCATTGTTCTTTTCTTGTGGTTTTAGTCAAAACTACGTCGTACTCTCTTAAAACAAATATGACTTTATCATCGTGATGAGCTTCGGGTTTATGATTCCCCTGTCATCACAAGTGATGTGCATGTTTGATAGTGGTGGTGAAAACTTAATTTCGTCCAATGGAGGGAGTTTGTCACAAGGGTGCTTTTGGATTATGGCAAGCTATGTCAGAAGGATACGGCTGGACTCCCACAATTTGGCAACTTCTCTTGACAAGTGTCAGTGCTACTTAGGTGGCAAGTTAAGGTATAATGTTTTCCAATTTTAAGGTCTATGTGCAAGTGCCACAAAAATTTCAAAAGGGGGTCATATTTTGCAGAGGCCAGTAGATTTCGAATCCATGAACCACTCCCAGGATTTGAATCCAACTTATTCATCTTTCAGAGATAATTGTACAATGATCTTTTTTCTAATCTTTTCCAATTCTGTTTTTCCCCCGGGGCCGGGGGTGGTAGGTGTTTGGTTGGGGGGAATAAAATTTGTAGTCACATATACATTTAACATTGGTTTGTTGGACTAAATGTGGCACTAGATTCTTTATATTTTCATTATGTCCTAAGTTTGAGAGAGTGGGGTTTCCAATCTTTAGCAGCATCAGATCATTCTTGTGATAGTGGGCTTTCAGAAATTTAAATCCACTTTTTTTCCTAGTTTTCCTTTTAAAGTTTTGTATGTGATGAGGTTTGATGGAACCCATGAAATTTTAATCCTCGTCTTTAGTGCAGCACTGCAGCTTGTTGATTGTCTTCCTCATGTTTAGTCCTATTAGTTGAGGGAGTAATGTAAAGTTCTTATGTTTAGAGTTATTCTGCATTAATTTTTCTAGTTGTTTTCCTTTTCCATGTTAATCAAGAATAGGATAGTCTAAATCTGATGATACTTAATTTGTTTGTTGCTTTAATATGTTCTTGGAAGGGTTGAGGAACTACTTAAAATCCCTTTTCATTTATTCATTAACATAGCAGTTTTGTATTGTAGTACCTTTTTTTTTTTGTTGTCTTTTTTTGTTTTAAAATGCCAAAATCATAGATAAAGTTGCACATAATTTGTAAGAAATATGGGTTTTAGGTGCACTTTCTTCACTCACTGGTATTAAGGGACACTCCATTGTGTAACTTGTCATAGCAACCCACCCAACCCATATAGATTGGTTGTCTAATAGATACAGATTATGCTAGAATTTTTCAATTCTAGGGTTGTACAATAAACTTGCATTTGTCATTTAATTATTGTACCTAGTTAATAAGTTCAATTATTGTAGTGAATTAGTGATCAAATATGTCTATACGAAATTGACGTAACATTTTATTTGTACTTTCTTGTTAGATCTTAGTTTCCTGGAGTATAAATCTTCCTGAGGCAACATCAATCAAAATGTTATCCCTACTTCATAAAAGTAACCTAATCATCTGCTGGGCATTCTTGGCCTAGTTTGATCTAAAGAACTCAAGCACGCCCACGAAACATATAGTAGCCAAACAAACATACTAGCTGTGGACCAAACTTTTGTGTTTCCCTATATTATTACTATTTAAATATAATGTGCGATATCATATAATATTTCATAAATCAAATATTGTTGATTGTTGTTTTTACCTGTTGTATAAGTTTTGTTAGATTTAAACACTATACCCCACACCTATGCCAATTACAACTTAGGTCTGCAACTAGGTCGTTCATCCAATTTTCATGTATCTTCAGCATTTATTTTTTAATAATAAAAATTTTGATGGATCGAATCTTAATAAAAGACACTTTGGCAAATGTTTTGGTTTACAGTTATCCTGTGTTAAAAAAAAATATATATATATATATATATATATATATATATATATATATATATATATATTCCGACTCCCAGTTATAGGTTTTGAACTGCCTGCTTTTCAATACAGTTTGCTTTCTTTTTCTTTTCTGATTTTCTGTGTGTTGTGTCTTGTGCTTGTGCCACTTGCACTAGCATTTGCCAAGGTCTGCTATCACGGAGAAAATTTTGGTCATTGCTTTTACTTTTTTTATGAAGTTCGGAAACATAAGGAATACTTTCACCACCATCTTGAATTTATATCCCAGTGTCTCGATTTATCAGTATATATATTTGTAGATGTAATAAGCATTGTTAGTCAATCATTGACTCTAGAGGGGGGTGAATAGAGTCAATGGCCAATGTTTTATAATTTTAAAAAATTTGTTTCCAACTAAATAGCATGCAATACACAAAAAATATTCTAGCAATATAATCACAATTAAAGAGTATAGAGATAGAGAATTGCAAACAGTGACTCGGCAATTTAGCGAGGTTCGGAAGCTCCTACTCCTCGGCTCAAGGTCCTCCCTTGAGACTTTCCAAATCACTAAAGCTCCTCCTTAATGTTGGAGAGCAAACCTTCAACTTGAAGCAAGACTTTGCTTCTTTCCTTGCTAGGAGAACACCCTTCTCCTTAGCTTTGCTTTTGGGTCACACCAACCCTTACAAGAATGTAGAGATATATGAAGATTACAATATAGTTTCTTTCTCTCTCTCTCTCTCTAGAGAATATTACAAGAATTAGTCTCACACTAGAGTAGAAGAAGAAATAAATGAAGCTCTGGTCTTTTAAACTGATACAAGAGAAGGAATAAGAAGTCAATGCTCAAATCAGAATTTCAGATAGCTCTTGAATGCACTTGGATAATGTTCTTTGATGATCTCTAAAAGAAGGACATTTGTTTGTAGACCATCTATCTGTATTTGAAGAGATTTCGAGTTCAATAGAGCTGTTGTAGGTAGTTGGAAGCATTAAATCAAATTCTGGCCGTTGGAAGTTTGAATCTGCAGAGCTACGACCAAACCGGTCGACGTATGGTATAAACCAGTCGACGTATCCTTTATCATACCGGTCGACGTATGCTACTTACCGGTCGACGTATATGTTGAGTTCCTAAGATTTCAGTACTGCCTTGATACTGGTCGACGTATATGCAAACCGGTCGACGTATGAGTTGATCTTTGAATTTCGCCTCTGAATACATACAGGTCGACGTATGGCATAAACCGGTCGACGTATATGAGCTTCTCATCGAATTTGGCTACTGCATAGATACCGGTCAACGTATGGCATGAACCGGTCGACGTATATGAGCTTCTCATCGAATTTAGCTACTGCATAGATACCGGTCGACGTATATGAGCTTCTCATCGAATTTGGCTACTGCATAGATACCGGTCGACGTATGGCATGAACCGGTCGACGTATATGAGTTGATCTTTGAATATTGCCTCTACCTTGTAGAACATTTGCATTCTCTTGTTTTTGCATCATCTTGTGCGTTAGTTAACCATATTCTTTATAGAATGTTTGCAGCCTCTTTATGTTTTAGGAATGTGCATCTGAGTCCATATGATGTCATGAAGATCCTTTCATTTCTTCAATTAAGAAGCATTTATTTCCTTGCATTCAAACTCAGTTGAAATATTAGAATATAAAACTCCTTTAACTGATTTGTTATCATCAAAACAAATGGATTAGGACTTTGATCAACAATCTCCCCCTTTTTGATGATGACAAATCAAGCATGTGATCTAGAAATGATATTGGGTTGTATTTGTAAAATACTCTCCCTGTCAATTTGCACACAGTGAATATAATGATCATGCTTGTAAAAAAAAATATTTAAGACAGGTATGACTGAAAGAATTTGCAAGCAAATGTTTTAAATTTGGAAATGATGTCTCCCCCTTACTACATGCTATATTTCACATTTTTTATGATTCATGGATCAATATAAAACCAACTAATAACAAGAAATAAATGTACTATCAAGATTGTCATAGCTAAAAATATCACAGCACATTATCCAAATACCAAAGTTTTATCAAAATATTCCTATAGTTAAGATAACAAAATGTCACAGTTTCTAAACTAGTCAGATCACATCATTGTTCTCCCCCTTTGTCACATCAAAAAGAGGGGAAGAGCAAACAGCTAATGAGGTGGTAAACCGAAATTGGTGCGCAACTCCTGAAGATCAATATTCATGCTTCTCAGTTCTGCTCTTAGCATGGCCACTTCCTCTTGAGTTTTACG